ATAATAAAATACCTGATTTTAGAACATCTTCACTTAAAACAATGTTACAATATATTCTCAAACAACTACGGAAGGCCTTAGTCATCTCAACAGTACTCTGGTTGTTTTTAAATGCATTATTTCATTAACCACACCCTTTCCCCTTATATAAAGCTGAAAAATAGGAAGCTTTTGGTCTTTCATTTTTTTCTGGGTATTTTCTAACCACATTTTTGCACTGTGGTTTCATGTAAGCAGTTGCTGATATCATCTCCTAAGTGTTGTTATGTACAGAAGTCATGCTTATGAGGTATGGAAATAAGTGAAATATTTGAAAAAATGTGTATTGAACTCTCCAAACATCAGGTTCCTATGGCAAGAAAGACAAATGCATTTTCTCAGATCACTCACCTGTCCCGTAGACAGCTCTTTGGTTGTTCAAAGATTATTGTCATGATCCACTTTGTAATTTAATGTCAGTTCTGTTTTCTGGGTTTTGTTTTGTTTTTTGGTGAGGAAGATTGGCCCTGAGCTAACATCTATGCCAATCTTCCTCTATTTTGTATGTGGGATGCTGCAACAGTATGGCTTGATGAGCAGTGTGTAGGTCCACGCCCAGCATCCAAACCCTCATACCCCGGGCTGAAGAGGAGCGCATTAACTTAACCATTATGCCACTGGGCGGCCCCTACCACTTTGTAGTTTAAAATAAACATTAAGAAATTTTTTTTTTGCCTCGATGTACTTTAATTATTTATTTTAAAAAGTCCCACAGGCTCTAGAACTTCTCTCCTGAATAATTTACAACTCAAAATAATAATAACCATGCTATAGAGTATGGCACAGTTTTAAATTGATAAATTCACTTTGTTGATCGATACGATTTTAAATTCAATTCTCTGAACCAAAGTTAGGGATGACGCTCATGCAAAGGGATGGGAGAAGGCCTTCCGTATTGGCAGAACAGGAGCCTGTTTGCTGATCTCTTTTAAGAGTTTGGAAAGAAAGAGCTGAGGGAGACTTTTGCTCTGCCCTAGGGACATCCTTGGCCCTGGACCAGCCCTTCATATTTCCAGACAGAGAAGGTTATTGTCTTCCCGATATTAACACTACATGAACCTTCTGAAGCTAGAAATTTGGGCAAATAGAATAAATTATATTTCAGAAGAATAGATTGTCTGAAGATCAGCTTTGAAGACAGTTGAAGATTAACCAAGAGTTTCCTAAACTTAGTTGACTTTGGAAATTATCCTTCTTACTGAATAATTCAGAACATCATAAACCATGTGTTAAAAAAAACTGGTGGCACTTGTATTCTGGAATTCACTTTGGAAATTACAATTTAATGACTCTACATTGAAAGTTAAGGCCTAAACCAGAAAGCTTTTGAAGGTTCTTTCAATCCTTATAACAATAAAATTCCAGTATAATGTGTTAACAAGATCTCATTTTCAACCTGGAGTGTTAACAAAATAATATAGATTTTATAAATCTGTAAAAACTAAGTGTGTAAAGTAAAAAAAAAATGTATTGCTTACTAATGTAAGTGCAATTTTAAGGGAAATTAAAAAGGTGAATTTTAGTTACAGGACATTTTATTGTATGGTTTAAAAAATGACATTTTAAATTGAAAGACAATATTTTACTATAATCTAAATATGTATTGGGTATATGACCCAGATGTTTTGATTATAATTTTTAAAAGCATCCTTTTGTAATAAAAAACCAAGAAAAGGTCAAAACCTACCATTACAGATTTTCTGATGTCTGAGTCTTTACCTTTGAAACCTGTGGTACCATTCAGATGAAACCATCACAAATGTTATTGTGACTTTTTTTTGTATAATGAGACATGAAATGGTTTCACTATCCAACCAAAATATCTAAGAAACTGGTAAGACCACAAATGCTACACAATAGTTGAAAATATATAGAACAATTTATTTTACTATTTCTTAGAAAAATGTACTTTTTAAAATCAACCCTTGTTCCCTAGGTTAAACCAACTCAGTGACAAAAACGAGATGACAAAAACAGTCATAAAACAGGAATCCTCTGTCTTCTCCTTTCTCCTTGGTAGAAGTCCAGTCCTCATACATTTCTCTCAAATAGTTCTGGGCCTCCCTACAAAGTGGGCTCACACGTGACTGGGAAGTGGTCCTCTTGACTACCGTGTCGGGTACTGTATTTTCTCCCTTTCGGGCTCGTTGTGGTAATGACACCAAAAGTGGCCATTATGTCACCCCTACTTATAAAGTCATTGGTGTTGAGGTCTTGTCATCCCCTTTTGGTTGCTCAATGTTGATATTGTTCAATGTGGATAACTGACGGTTGCGTCGTCCTGCTGTTGCCAAAGCCACCAACAGTGATAATGAGGTTGACCAGCACTCTCAATGACCCATGGAGATTTTGGTGCATGAAATGCCTCTTCCTTTTAGTTTTTACCCTTCGTGGTATTCAGGACTCCATGGGGCTGAGCTGGAGGAAAACTGTTAGTGAGTACGACTATGTGATTGGTCTTTGATTTTCTCTGCCTTCAGGATGAATTCTTTTCCTGTAGTCTTCTCACCTCTCAAATAAATAATCCTCTAGAATTCCTGTCCCACAGCTTTCCAGGTATCTCCAGATATACGTAAATCCTAGGATGAAGCTACCTTACATTCAAGCCTGGATCCCTGTTATAATATATTGTCACATACAATATAACAATTCCAATTGGAGAACAAGAATTTTCACACTCAGAACCTACCCATATCTATCTACTTATCTATCTATCTATCCAAATATATATATATTTGTATATGTGGATGTGTATACCCTAGATTGTACAACCTTTGAGAACAAGAACTGTAAGTCTTATTGATTTTTGTAGCCACTTGTTTTTGTTACACTGCCTGGCATATGAAAGATGCTCAATAAATATTTGTCAAATATATTGAGAAATATGTATCAAAGCTGTGGAAGGAGGACATGTTCAGCAGAGGACAGTTAAGGAAGAGAAATTAGCTGACTCCATAAGGCCAATAAAGTAAGTTTGTGCCATTGTATGTCAAAATTTTAACGGCCTCTATCTAATCCTTATTGACATTGTTTTCTCTATTCTTAACATTCTTAATGTCTCTTGATGACTTTTCATTTCTGTTGACTAGAATATTTATTTATTCAATAACATGTTGGGTGTCATACAACTTTATTCTTGGTGTGGAATAAATTTCTGCAATAATTTTTAGCATTATGAAGCATTCCCTGGAATCCTGTCTTGCTATGGAATCTGCTAATGAATACAGTGGAGAACAGATATTTGAAGATTAATTGTTAAGAGATGTTAAAGATGTTAGCATTCTTGTTTGAAAGTTACAGAGGCCTATGGATTGGAAGGAAACATTGTAAAGGGTAGATGGGTTTGAGGTTGAGCCACAGAAACAGCTGGCACCAGGGACTCAAAGGCCATCACAACTCCACGTTTTTCATCTCTTGTGCATGTTAGTTTTCTTGTCTCTTGTTGTTGCTGAGATTTCCCTGTGTGGTAGAAAACATTTTGGCTAATAGCTCTTGAGTTGTATATATGATCCCTTCAGCCATCTGGACTATCTTAGTTCCATTTCTAAAAATCCCCAGAAAGGACTCTTGTTGCCCTAGCTTGGGAGACCTTAGGACCTGTTATGGGTTGAATGGTGTCCCCACAAAAGATGTTGACGTTCTTACCCCAGTACTGCAAACGTGACCTTATTTGGAAATAAGGTCCTTGTAGATGATCAAGTTAAGATGATGTCATCAGGTGGACCGTAATGTAACAGGACTGGTGTCCTTATAAAAAGGGGAAATTTGGACACAGAGACAAACAGGCACACAGGGAGAATACCACATGAACATGAAGGCAGAGATGGGGTGAAGCATCTACAAGCCAAGGAATGTCAAAGATTGCCAGCAAACCACCAGAAGCTAGGAAGGAGGTGTGGGACAGATTCACTCTCACAGCTCTCAGAAAGAACCAGCTCTGCTGGCACCTTTGTCTTGAACTTCTAGCCCCCAGAACTATGAGACAATAAAATTCTGTTGTTTAAGCCATCTAGTTTGTGACACTTTGTTACAGCAACCCTAGCAAACCAATATAAGACCATTTAATGATGGCTTAAGGGTGGGAGTATGTAGCATCATGGGAACCATGTAGGCGGGTGGAGGCTGATTCTCAGAAATTGGTCCTGAGAAGACAATCTCATATATTTGCACTATAGACCCCCCCAATGCAATTAATTATGATTTGGAACTTAATTGGGATCAATAAACTTGAAAATTTTGGCTGTGAAAGTTTTCCATGGAATGAATATGTTTAATTAGAAGTTGGGTAGACAATTAGAAAAAACCTAAAAAGTAACTTGCATATCGTTTTATCTAATTGGCATCTATGCCTCAGCTTACAAATCACCAAATTGCAGGGTAAGTAACAAATCTGCTTTGTCTAGGACAGGTAAATATCTGTAGCAAAATGGAATTTATGTGAAGGAACCAATAATGTTTTAAGAGCCCGCTCATGAAAGATAACTTTAAGCAAAATGATGGATTCCTGTCTTAAAGGGGTAATTGCTTGGGTTCTTTAATACGTAGGTTCTTTTGTAGTTGCTGATTTATAAGAGGCTCCAGTAGAGACACAATCTTGTAACTACTGCTACCTTCTAGCCTTTCTCGACCTATTCTTCCTTATAAGTAATAGTATTCACCGGGTTAGAAGTCATGAATAAGTAATTTGTGTCAGAGTGAGGAGGCTGTCTTTCTCCGCTTACGTTTTCTAATCTGGGAATACCATACCTAAAATTCTAGATGAGGGATCGGGCGACCTACAGCCCTCAGGCTAAATCCAGCCCACACCTGTTTTTGGAAATACAGTTTTACTGGAACACAGCATATCCATTCATCTACTTATTGTCTATGACTGTTTTCATGCTACAGCAGCAGAGTTGAACAGTTGCAACAGACTCTGTGGTCCACAAAGCCTAAAATATTTGCTATCTGGTCTTTTACAGGAAAAGCTTGCGCATCCCTGATCTAGATGGTTGTATCATGTGGGAGAGCAAGGTTTGTTTTTCAGTTTTTATTTTTTTAATTAAGTCTGCCAGGGACAGACATTTTAGTCTTTAGAGTAGAAGTAATCCCCACGTTCCTAATGACCTGGACTCCACATTTCTGAAATGAAACACATGGTTTAAAATGCTTCATTGAACTCCATTTTTCTTATTTACAGTTGCTTGTAATTAGTAGTTATTTTGCTCTTATAATTGCTTTTTTCTGTTGCAAATAACTAGTTACAGAACTGAAAAATGGAAAGGTTGTCCAAAGACATCATGGGTTTGGAGTGTTTTTGACCTAATATTTCTTGAAGGCAGGAAGATGTCTGTGCTCACCATCAGTGGCTCCATTTCCTTAAAGGAAATCATCTAGGGCACATAATAGCAAGCTAAGTACATTCTTCTTGCTTACTTGATTTGAAAGAACAGAAATAATGCAGAAAGATATTTCTATTTGGGAAATGAATTAAAACAAAACATTTATAATAATGTGACCTTAGAAAGTTACCTAATCTTTCTGAGCTTCAGTGCCTTTCTCTGTAAAATGGAGATAATAAAAGTACTCACCTTACAGGGTTATAAGGATTTAGTGAGATGCCCCATTTAAAGTGTCTGGCAGAGTATATTGTATATAATTAAGCCATAATATATTTAACTCTTGTTATTATTATTATTGATATCTCCTTAGCTTTATATCCTAATTTCTCTGCCATATTGTAGCTACACATAACATCGTTAATTCACCTATTTTATTTATTGATTGTTACTGTATTAGTCTGGGTTCTCTAGAGAAACAGAACCAATAGGACACACACACACATACGTGTCCACATACATACACATGCATATATACATTTATTATATGAAATTGACTTACACAGTTATGGAGGCTGAGAAGCCCCCAGATCTGCACTTGGCCAGCTGAAGACCCAGGAGAGCCGAAGGTGTAGTTCCAGTCTTGTCTGAAGGCCTGAGAACCATGAGAACTGATGATACAGTTTCAGTCCGTGTCCAAAAGTAGGAGAAGACTGACATCCTAGCTCTAAGACAGCCAGAGAGAACGAATTCTCCCTCACTCTGCCTTTTTGTACAGTGATTGGAAGTGAAGAGACTAGAGGCTGAGCAACTGGATGGGTATATATAGGTCTGGTGAAGTTATCAAGAATGATGACAAGGTGGCCATAGAGAGAGTCGGCAAGTCTTGCGCTAAATTTTCCATGAAGTTTCATTCTTTCCCGAATGTGCCATGATTTTCTTGCTTCAGAGACTTGCACATGCTATTTCTGTTTGGAATATTCTTTCTCCTTCTCTCTGCCTGGAAAATTCCATTCATTCTTCCAGTTCAGAAGCCGCTTTCTCTGAAAGGCCTGTACTGACTTTCCCCATATGGGTTGCTTTTCCTTTGAGATTGCATGGAACTTCTTAATGCTTCTTCCATGACACTTACCAAATTGTAGAGGATGTTTTGTTTATAAATGTGCCTCTTTCACACATACTGTGATGTTCCAGAATGTAGAAATTACACCTTATGCATCTTTGCTTCCATTCAATAAACATTTTTCAAGTGAACGCTCTCCTACTAGAATAAGGAAAAATTAAGGGTACTATTGTATTCTCAGTGCATATCACAGTGTCCAGCAATAGTAGAGTCCCAATAAATATTTATTGCATAAGTTCCATGATCATTTTTAAAGGAAAAAAAGCCAAGATTTGTTGACAGTAATTATTTTCAAATGTTGGTAGAAGTCAAGTACTTGGTAGCGTGAACAACCCGGCTAACACTTGACTACAACAAAATATGGATTATATCTGAGCTTTTCTATCTATAAATGTTTAAACCATACCAGCTGAGTAATACAAGGCAAAGGGAAAGTTGACCCAAAGTGAACATTTACAGTTAAACTTTAGGAGAGACTTGGAGGGATTTAGATTCAAAGGTTGGGTTGGTTTGCATTGAAAATATGCTTGGAATTTATCGCAGCTGCTGAAAGTGGGATAGCCTGGAGGTGTACAGATTGTGGAAGGACAGCTGCTTTGTGGAGCAACGAAATTGTGGTAACTCCTCTTAGTGGTCAAATTCTCCTTATCAGGGAGCACTTTTTAAAGTTTGTACAGCAATATCCTAACTAATTGCTCTCAGAGAAAGCTCACGGAAGAATTATTTATGTATTGCTTATATCAGAATTCTCAATCTCGCTTGTGCCTTAGAATCACTTGTGGAGCTTTTTTTCAGACAAAGAAGCCCAGGCAGCACCTTCAGAGGTTCTGAGTCAGCAAGCACTTTTTATATAAAGCTTTGCAGTTGATTCTAATCCATGGGTTAGATTGAGGACCTCTGAAATACAGAGTCAAATTCCAGCGAAGGACTTGGTGAATTATTTCCTTCTCCTAAATCCAACATTTACTGAAATCTTTTGTGCTTATTAAATTATTTTAAAATTGCAAGTTAAAAAAGAGTCAAGCTGTTTTGTGAGAAGGTCCCTATTATGTTATGATTCATCCATTAGAAAGAAATATTTTGTTTTCTGTAGTGCTGTACAGGTCAAACATGCCCATTTATATGGACAATTCCCCAAGTTTCAGTTCTTGAACTTCATGACTAAGCCATGAGTTGATGATGGCTCTGTGCGAGCTAAATGCTGAAGAACAACACGTTTACTGAGGCAAAGAGGCAAAATAGAGCATTTGATACTCATAGATGGAAAAAATTATACCTAATTTCTAAATAATATGGAAAATATTAAATTTTCAGATCTAGAACATTTTATGACGCATTCGCACCTATTTTTTTAACCTGAGGAAGCACTCCTAATGTCATTACAGAATATGAGATAATTTTCGGATTCTGTGTTAACAAATAATAGATTAAAAACAATGCTATGCCATGATGAGTGTATCTTTCCTTTATATCTTTTTAGCATATATTTATCCAGCTTCTATTTCATTATTTTACCTTAAAATTATTCCTATTTTTTTATATCTGTTTTTACTCTTTAAAGATAATGGTATCCTTTCCTATCTTGTACTTTTTTGTCCTTTTCTTTTTCAGGCTTTTCCTCATCTGCCTGTACACATTCTAGGAACACATTTTGGTCCAGGATAGGAACACATGAAGTTCCAACTCTTCTAGGAAGATTTTTCTTTCCCACCAAAAAAGACCACAAAGCCTTATCTTACTTTCTAACCTGATGAATGCCTTTTGTCTTTTCTCTTCATTTTGGCAACTATGTCTTATTTATTGTCTGTCTTGTTTCAAGAGGTTTTAAGGCGACGTTTCTGTGAAATCTTTGTCACAGCAATGAGTTTGTAGGCCATTTAAAGAGCAGAAAACCTGTTGTTTTTTTGATATAGAAGACCAAGATTTGGGTCTTAGCTCTGCAACTTTCTAACTGTGACTGTAGGCAAATTATTTAAACTGTTTTTTGCTTGGTTGGTTCATTTTGATTTTTAATCTCTAAATTGAGGACAGTAATATTGGCCCTAACCAAACTAGCACAGAGGATTATTACACATGAAAAATGAAACTTTTTCATTGAAAGTGCTTTGTAAATGGTGATAACCTATACATACTTAAAATATCTTAGTTTTTATTTCTTTTTATCCACCAAAGTGCTAGCACAATGGTAACTACTGAGTAGGGTTTGCTATAAACTCACAGAATTGGATTAAAGTAATATGAGTTGGTATCTTTGATACACCAACAAACACACATGCAATTATGCATACTCATTCCAAGTATTAGGGTATAGTTTATTGGAGGCACGCAAAGGAGTGAATATTGAACGTTATTAAAAATTCACTGAGGCTTTCATAATAATGTGGCGTGCTCCCACTGGCCTTGTGTTGTGAAGTAAGCATTCAGGTTTCTGCTGCTTTAATATAGGAGTTGCTTGTTTGGACTGGTAGTGGGCAATCTGAATTGCTCTGACTGTGCAACAATTTGAGAAATGAAGGTCTAAGCGGATTCTTCTTTATTCTGATGATTTAGTAACGTTTATGACCCTTTCCTTTGCATAATACAATTCTTTACATAAAGAATATTGTAAACGAATAAAATTTTTTCTATTTTTGCAGCTAGTCTGTACAGGGAGTCAGATTAGATCCTCTGGGGAAGTTCTCAGTGGAATCCCAGCCTTTGATCATGCCACCAATGCTTTAATTTTAAAAGTGTGAAAAGATGATTAGAGTGTCTTAAGATCTTGGTATCAGGCACAAGACAGAGTTGAAAGCTGCCATGAAGTCTGCCACCTAGGAGGAACACCATCCTCTGAGGCTCTAATTGACAAAGAAGTAGAATGTTAAAGAAGTCGAAAGTCAAATCAAGAAGAATAAAGGATATTGGAATGTTGTCACATTTACCGTGGACTTTATTAGGCACCAGATATTGACTCAAATTAGGAAATAGTGAAAATTTAAGGCCTAGATTTAATAGAGGTCCCATATATAACTTCAAATAGTTTTATAATTTTTCCCCCACATATTTGATGTTAAATAAAAATGAATAATGATGTTTCAAAATTCCATTAGTATGCCCGAGTTAAAGCAAAAAAATTTTTTTATTGAACGACCATCCTGGGAGAGTAGTGGATCAACATAAGACAATTGTTATCTTTAAAATAGAGTGGACCAAAATGATGCCACAAGGCTAACAACAACAACAATGACAATGACAGCAACGACAACAACAACAACATAATATAAAATACAATCAGAGCTGACTTTTAGGAAAACTTTAAAGCAGAAGCCGTGTGCTTCCTTCTTGTTGATCCAACCCTCTCTAGGCTTCTGGTGTCCCTTGCTCCCCAGTGATCAGCACCTGTAGCACTTCTCCATCTCCCTTGTCCAATAGTCAGACGTGCTCGATGTCCCCATTTCCCTGCAGGTCTGCTAGGTGACTAGTTATCAATTCTCAGACTCTATAATGGGCTATTGAATTAGTGTGTGACTACCTCTCTTCCTCCCTTTACATCATTTGCCTTTCAGTAAGATCTTTTTATTGCATGATCAAAA